TGTGATTTAGGTGTGATATTGTAAGGAGAAATTTGATGTTAGTCACTGTTGGGATATAAAGGGTTAATTTTCCATTTAAGTTTTTTTCTCCCAGTGAACTGGCAAAGTAAAACCAAAATGATCAAGAAAACAACCCAACAAGAAACAACAAACAGATCTTAGAGAAACTTCCTCAGGAAAGATTCAGTTTTTCTTGAAGATATTATTTTCTCTAAAATTTAATATACTTTCTGGGAGACACTGTTGATTCACATGTTTACATTGCATATTAGCCCATCTCAAGAATTAAAATTTTTGATGTTTTTCAGATTTTTTCAACTTGTTGTCAGCCACCCAGCCTTTTCAAAAGATGAAGATTTGCAGAAGGTTTTGAAAGAGGAAAATGTGAGTTTTTCAAATAATAAGATACTCTTACAGATATTTGGCCATGATCCCTGTGAGTGTGGGTGATTTTTTTCCACAAAATTTGTAAACTGACATACTATGGCAAAACAACACTTGATTTAAACTACATAGGTATATTTTTCATAAAATCAACAATAATTGTGACTATTTTCATCTTAAGGGGTCATAAATGTTTTAAAGATAAAATCAGTTGACACAACATCCACTGAGCCACCTCTAAGGAATTATGTAGAAATGGAGTGAAAATTGAACTACAATTCACTGCAACAATAAGCTCTTCCACCAGTCAATGTTGTAGAATGGTGTAAAACAATTAAAGAAACATTGTACATGAGAAGAAGAGTTGAAAATAAGGAATATAATTGGTATGCTATTCCAGAATATTGCCATTTCAATGGTAGTGTGTTGACAATTTTCTTGCTGATTGTATGTATATGCCTGGGGGATTTCTTTTGTGACAAAATGTCTGTTGCAACTTGGTAAAACTAAGTTTGATAATCATTATTAAACTCCTTGCTCTGAGAAATTAATCTCTTTTCAACTCAGTGATCAGTGGCTTAATGGCATCTCTCATGCTCATACACTTACAGTGTAAGGTATAAACACTTTTTTTATTACATAGCTTGTGGTGAGAAGCAAAGTGAAAAAGGGACTTAGGACAAGTCTATATCATGAGCTGTGGATGATCTCAGGCATCATAGTTACAAGGTACAAAATGTTCCAGGATTTTTTTGTTTTTTTGTTTTGTTTTGTTTTGATTTTTTATCTAAGAAGTCTTTATTTAGTAAAATTGTGATATCACTGGATTATTGTTTAATTACATACAGTGTATGTCTCATTCAGGGCTGTAAAATATGAATTTTTGTAGTTTTAATTATGGCATACAGAGAGACAGTGTTTTAACCCTTCACACTCTAACATCAGTATGCATATTCTCCATACTGTTCTCTAGACATTTCCTAAGATGCTGACATGGAGAATTTGTCTAACAATCAAGAGCTTCTTTAGTCTGTGATCAGCTCCTTTATTCTCCTGGCCTTAATGTTTGGTTCAGTGGGGATATGGTAAGGAGAAATTAGATGTCAGTCACTCTCAGGGGTTAAGCTGCTGATTACTTGGTCCCCCCTTATCACTGTTAACCCTTCACAGGCCTCTCGTCAGCTTGTGTTGCTCTACTAGGCCTCATTCTCTTCTGTGGGTGAAGAAACACTCGACAAAGTGCAATTAACCTTTAAACTCCCAAGATCTGATTATTAATTCTCCCCTGTAGCTGCTACACATTTCCTTGTAAATTAGTTACAAGAATTTGGTGTTCAATCAGGGTAATATCTTGAACCTGATGAGTCTGAGTATTCTGATTACCTGTTTGCTGAATAATGTATGGATATTAAAGGGAGAAGTGACATGTTCATCACTTTTGGGAGTTAAAGGGTTTAAATGAGGCCCTGCTCAAAGATGACCTAACTTGCTTTTGAATTTAACCATGACAAGAATGACTTGGCCTTCCTAGAAATAAAAATAACCAGAAGTTATTCCTTTTGGTTAGGATCTTGTTGAAGAATTTCAGAAGAAAAGAGATTTTGTGGAAGAGTACACACCACTTACCAAGGAGACATATGGGGTCAGTAGTTGTAATATTTTTCTAGGGGTGCATTATATGATTCAGTAATTCCCTTCACTTTCTGCCACACAATTCATATGATGTTAGTTTGGAGAATTTGGTTTTGGATCAACTAACAATCAGAGCATCACTTGCCTGCTTGGTGTTGTATTGATGTGGTGAGGAGAAATAATGTTTTGGTCATGCATGGGTTTAGCTTCTAAGTAAGATTTGACTAAGTAAGATTTGACAATTTTGAGATTATTTCCTTCAATAAATAAATGTTTTTCTACTTATGTTTTTTTGTTGAACTTCACCAAAATGGTACACAGTCAGCAACGTATGTAGCAATGTTTTATTTGCTGGAATGTGTAATCTGCATTAAGGTTGTGTAGGCTGAAATAATGAATTGCAACTTCAAATCTCATAAAAATCTCAGAAAGTGTGGCCAAAACATTCCAAGAGCTTAATTTGTTTTGTCTCACTTGTGTGTGTCCTCTTCTTTCTTCAGGAATCACTGAATGTTATGTCCACTACTGATGACATCACATTAGGTTTTACTTTAGAACTTTATTCCAGATACATGCTACCAAGGTATGTGAAATATGTATTGGAAAACTTGTATCTTATTTAACTCTGTAAAGGATACTAATAATCGGAGCATCACTTGCCTGCTTGGTGTTGTATTGATGTGGTGAGGAGAAATAATGTTTTGGTCATGCATGGGAGTTTAAGGGTTGATTGTGTAAATGCTTCCCTCTCACCACGTCAGTCTGGGCTAGGATTCTGCACCCTGAGCTACTTGTTGGTGTAGGATAGATTACATTTACATGCATCTTGTTGGTTTGCTTTAGGGGTCTTTTATGAGGGAAAAAAAGACCTGGAATTCCAAAGTGCCAACTCTGCTGGAAACTGTGGTTGAAAAGCCAGAATGTCTTATTGTCAATAAAAACATAAACAATTAAGTTATGATTCTGTAAATTGGTTTTGCGCCAAACAGCACCTATGATGAGAATAAGGTTTTAGAGGAAAGTCAGATTTGGTTTTAGCTTCTAAGTAAGAGTTGACAATTTTGAGATTATTTCCTTCAATAAATATATGTTTTTCTACGTGTGTTTTTTTGTAGAACTTCACCAAAATGGTACACAGTCAGCAACGTATGTAGCAGTGTTTTATTTGCTGGAATGTGTTATCTGCATTAAGGTTGTTTAGGCTGAAATAATGAATTGCAACTTCAAATCTCATGAAAATCTCAGAAAGTGTGGCCAAAACATTGATATCTAAAGAACATCCATGTGAAAACAACATAAGGGTGGCAAAGACATACTTGAAGTATTATTCAATGATACAGTGTTGTAATGTATCAGGATGTTACAAAATATATGATTGATTTTGATAATAAATGATACTGTGTGATTATGACAATCTCACCATGATGGCATATTGATACATATGTAAGTTTGGTAACTTTGAATTTCTTTGTGAATTTCAGATGTTGCATTAGCAGTGGATAATTTTAGTTCTGGCATCATGACAGCATCAACTGGTGATGATAATAGTACCAAGGAATTGAAAGGGTTTGTTGTTCTTTGTCTGAAATTGCTAATTGATATGATTTTGTAATAATTACTTAATATTTATTTCAGATCTTTCTATTATTAACCTGTGGTGGCAAACTTCCAACACAAGCAATGATGGGCCAGGCATATAGTTTGGCAGATTTTTTTCCCATGTGAATAACCACTGTTTTACCACATCTTACATGCTAGCTCTACTCACTGTAACCATCATGAGAACTGGTAATAAGATGCAATCAAGACCTATCAAGACCTTAGCATGATAGTTATGTCTTCCTCTCTTGTTGAAGTGATCAGCATCTAAATTCTCCTCCTCTTGAGAATAAAGGAAATGATAGAAAAAAACAAAGAAACTCTTGATTGTTGAACAACTTCTCCTTGTCAGTATAATAGAATATGTACCAAGAACAGTATTGAGAATATACATTCTGATGTCAGGGTGTAACAAAAAGCTAATTTTAAAAGCTTTTTTTACTTTTACAGGAGTTTGGTGACTTTTTCAAGTGCACTAAATGGTGTCAAGGTATGATAGCATTTTTAGACAGGAACTAGTGTTGCTAGCAGTATTTTCAATTCCAAGAGTTTAATTTGTTTTGTCTTACTTGTGTGTGTGTCTTCTCCTTTCTTTAGGAATCACTGGATGTTATGTCCACTAATGATGACAACACATTAGGTTTTACTTTAGAACTTTATTCCAGATACATGGATGCTGCCAATTAAGGTATGTGAAATATGTATTGGAAAACTTAGATCTTATTTAACTCTCTAAAGGATACTGGCTTTCCTTTTGTGGGCAGGGTTAGGGAAGGGGAAAGGAGGTGACTATTTTCTTTTGGGGTGGGGTGGGATGAGAGCATTATCACAGCCTGAGAAAAGCTCAGGATCACTGCACATCTAAACCAAACAACAACAAAAAGTCATCAGCCAGACTGTTGACCAATCTATTTCTCATAACCCAAATGATTTGTGGGTTGTGTCTTGAATGAGAACACTGGGTTCTACCCCCTCTATCTCTATTGCATTCAATTTTTTCAATTCATTGGCAAGCATTAGTGCATTTACATGAATGTAGCACAAGAGAGAGGTTATCTGTTGAGAAAGCACCCTTTGGAGTAATTTACATTTCATTTTCATACTGCTTAAAGCAAAAGGGATGGAAAACTTGCAAACAAAGACTGGAATGGTGGAACAGAGTCATGACTTGAAGAGTTTTTTTTTTTTAATTTACAATGCTTTGTGGTATAATTGAATTTGGAACCATCAAGTACAGATGAGCTGGAATGTGGGACTTCTGGATTACAATTCCAGTGCCCTAACTTTGAAAACCCCTTTTTTTAATTGGTTATTTCTTCTTGCTGTCTCAAGATGATTATTTTAACTGTTTACTGCACTTGTTTTGTCCATCTCTTACCCTGCAGGAGATGCATTTCCATCGTACATGTAAACTAGTTGAGTATGAGAACGCAACAAAAGCACTGGAAAAAGCCAAACCCAAGAACCAAAAACAAGTGAATAGTGTTTTTTTGTGCACACTGATTGGCTAACTTGAAAGTGATGAGCAAGTACCATTAACCTCTGAGAAGCCAAAGTGACAAAATCACTCATCAACAATTTGATTTTCAACCATTTTCCTTGGTTTACAATGAATCCTTTGCACTGGCATAATGAACAGAGGAGAAATGGCAGATGATTTAAATATTTGTTAAGGGCACATAAAAGAAATTGTCATTTTGCCCTAACTGCAGTAGACAATCTGCTTACTTGATTGATTTTAATTTTTGTTTTTTTTTAATTTAAATATAGATGATCCGTTACGTCTCATCCAGTATGCTGAATCGCGGTTAAAGAATGGAAGAGATACCTATGCCATTTTGGCCAAATTATTGAATGACATGAAAAAAACTGCTTAATCAATGAGCACCAAAATGGAGACATAATTTTCACTTTAGACGTTGTCTCTAACCAGAGATATTTAACCTAAATGTATTTGTTGTTTTCAATTAATTGGTAACAGGACTTCTTATTATTCAATTCTTTCTGTAATCATACTCGTGATTGACAAATTGGTGTCCCGCTTCGCAGTCGTCCAATTTTGTCAATCATGAGTATGATAGCAACAGACCTAATTAGACTCCACTCAGTTCTATTACCATTGTAACTTGGCTGGAAATGGTGGCAAAAATCTAGCAATGACTTGAAATTTAATCAGCATATATTTGATGACAAAAAGAAACTTTTCAATTTTGTGAAGGCTACCAGCCTTGAATCAAGGCTCCAGAACATTCAATAAACACTTAACATGTTGAATTTTCAACTTTATGTTTTTTCATGCAGATCACCTTTATACTAAAGAGTGAATTAATTTCTTCACATCTTTTTATAAAATAATATTTTTATTAATTCTGAATGAGTGGGTTTCAAATATGCAAAGTTTTATACATACTTCCACAGTAACAGCCATTATGGATAAAAAAATTTCCTTTTCAATCCTCTGAAAAGTACCAACCAAAAAATTGATTTCCTTTGTATTGAAAAGCTTTTGTAATTCGTATTAGATATAGCGATGGTAGGTTTTTGTTTGAATAACTTTCGAATTACCTGTAAAGGCAGAACTTGACATTTTCAGTTGACTTACGTGCGAATATACTTCTTATTCTAGTGAAAAATGTTTTCCCAGTGTAATTATTTGTTTTAACTTAGAATGGGCCATATACAACGCCACTTGTCGTTTCAGCTTTACCAAAGCTCTCGCATCTCTAAACTGGTGACTCCCCCACTAACCGCCCCCCCCCCCCCCCATCCCCTCTCTCTCCCCACCCAGCAAAAGAAGCCACCTTATAAAAAGTGGCCACCTCTGGAAGTATCGATGACGTAAAAGGCTTTGTTAAGGTCAATTGAAGTCTTTACCTTCACCACTGGTATCCCAAGCTCACGTCTCGAGAAAAAAGCGAACGATTTATTCATGTAAGCGTCACGCGTTCTGTGACGCGGTGTTGAGTTACGAGAGGAAACCCTTTCTGTTCAGGAGTAACAGTGATGGGGAAAGCAAGCTTAAAATGGCAGAAATCGCCAAAAACAACAACGGATACAGAAGATGAGAGTAAGTTTTATTAATTTTTACGTGTAAAATGTTCAATTTCGAAATATTTATAGTTGTTAACCGACCATATTTCATTCCCCGTAACGGTTCCTCTCGTAACTTCACATTGCGTCACACAACGCGTGACGCATTCATGAATTAATCGTTCCCTTTTTCTCGAGACGTGCGTCTGGGACACTTGTGTCTTCACCAACGAGTTTACCACACCCTGCGAAAGAGGAGACTTGGTCTGGTCATTAGTCATTCCCTGAAAGGGATGGTGGTGAGTATTTTGGTTTTGTAACAATAACATTTGTCTGATCCCCCAATAAGGCCCCGTGGTATTCTATTGATTCCCCCCTAATCCGCAGTCAATCTTCTATAGTCCTTCTTTTAACTTTTTTAGAGACGACTGATTCCCCCTCCGTTTCCCTTGAAACCCATACGAACTCCCACTCTCCCCCCAAGAGAAACAATTTTCCTCCAGCCCCCCCCCTCCCTCAGGCTATAAAAATTACTCTTTCTTTATCGCTGGTTATTCACAATTTAAGCCCAAAACGAATTAACTTCCTTAATGACCTTCCGCCTCCTAACCCTACCTTTACCTACAATTTAGTCATCTGCTGTTTGAATTTCTGATGAGATCAAGGCGCAAATCTGTCTGCTGCTGACGTTGTAGAGGTTATCACAATATCATCAGAAATGCTGCGCTATGCAAATCAGTTTCACTTTAGAGCGTGGTAGCTTCCGAGCGGTAATGTTCACACAATAGTTCCTAAAATTCTTAAAGAAGTAAGTATAGATCACTTGTAATCTAGATTTGAGAGGCAAATTCCGACTAGTGTTTGATTACAACGAGACCAAAGCTCAGTGTAGGATCCATTAAGGATGTTGTCACAAATTCTCGATCGTACGCTCAAACTGCAAAGCTTAACGGCTCTATGAACGAGTTTAACCCTGCGTCATTTTAATCATTTACCAAATGCTAAATCGATTTCGTTTTGAATACAACAATTTAAGAATTCGTCTTGTATTCATTTGGAGAACTATGGTTTCTATTACCTTAACAAAATTACTACGATTCTTGATTTGCTGAATTACAAACCTTATCTTGTATGAAAAGACTGTGGCTATTCATCGTCGTCAAATACAATATTAGACAAAGTATTATCGTTTAATGCGCTTGTTTTCACCTCCGATGTACAGATCGGGACGTTTGGATTGCAAGCAAACGGCTCGGAGTCTTCTTCGTGCGAGCCCGGCCATCACCATCCACAGCGGCAGTGAAAAGATTGAAAAAGAAACGATAGCATTTATCAGTAGTAGTCGTTCCTCAAGACGCTGAAATAAGCCTCGCTGGTAAGTACATTGTGTTATAGTGTAATTTTAGTTGTTTCTGTAGCGGGATCTACCTGCTTTTGGACAACAGAAAGAAATACAGGTTTAGTTTCCGATTTAGAAATTATCGCTTAATGCGCTTGTTTTCACCTCCGATGAACAGATCGAGACATTTGGATTGCTAGCAAACAGCTAGGAGTCTTTTAGCGAGCCCTGCCATCACGATCCACAGCAGCAGTGAAAAGATCGAAAGACAAACGATAACATTTATCAACCTTAGTTGTTCCTCAAGACGCTGGAATTAGCTTCACTGGTAAGGACATTGTGCTATAGTGTAATTTAGATTTTTCTGTAGCGGGCCAGGACTTGCTAATTTTGAAACTGAAACTAAACATTTAACTGCTTTTGGATGACAGCAAGAAATACAGTGCTAGCCTTCGATCTCGGGATTAATAAAGGAGTACGAAATTGTTTTGATGTTGGGGAAGTTTTGCGAATTTATGTGGTCCAAGAGAATACCGCGGTGTATTTTAGTTTTGTAACAATAACATTTACCTGATCT